AAAAGAGAGTCTATGTTCAAATCCAAAATTGGCTCCTCTTCAGCGGTCTGCTCTGGTTCAGGTCTGTCCACTTCAATCTCCTCACCAAAAAGGTGTGGTTGACACTCCAGAACCATGTACATATATATATATATAACTGATAACCTGTCCATAAGGTTGAATGATTCACATTCGGAATGGTGTCCAATCTAAAATTTGCTCCTCATCAGCGGTCTGGTCTGGTTCAGGTCTATCCGACGGAGGCAACAGGAAGGTAGCAGTAGACTCTCCATTCTCCTGGCACGGGTTCCAGGGTAACAAGGATATGTTGTGCGCATTCTAAGTGATTGAACTCTGGAAAAGAATGAACAAAAGGAAGGAAGTTGCATACCCGAAATGAACTACCCAACCCCAGTGTAGCTCCTTCAGCACAGCCTCATTCAAAGGCTGCTGTCCACTCTGCATAGCAGGTGCTTCAATCTCCTCACCAAAAAGTTGTAGCAGAGTGCACCTATTTCCAAACCTCTCAGCTTCTTTATAATATATAACTTAACCTGTCCATCAGGCTGAATTTGTTCATTTCCGAATGGTGTCCAATCCAAAATTTGCTCCTCTTCAGCGGTTTGGTCTGGTTCAGGTCTATCTGACGGAGGCACTCGGACGGTAGCAGTAGGCTCTCCATTCTCCTGGCACGGGTTCCACAGTAACAAGGATAGGTTTTGCGCATTCTAAGTGATGGATCCCTGGTAAAAAATGAAAGGAAGTTGCACACCCGAAATGCCTGCTCTGGGTACAAGGGTATCATTATATACGGGACGATACTTAGAACGCCTGCAAAAGTGCAGCGATGCAACAATTATATAAAGGGCAGCCATGCAAGCACTGAAGGTTCATGCGCTGGCATTCTAAGTGTGAAAGGAATTCCTCTACCATGTGTATTCGGGCCTTGGGATTCAAGTGCTTCTGCCACCAATCAGGCTTGCTTCGCTTCCGCGGCTGTTGCTGCTGGTCCTTGGAACAGGTTTGAACCGTCCATATGTATATAATATATATATATATGAAAAAATGTTTTAGTATATATATGTGTGTGTTTATATATTCTATTGACGCACACACTGAACTTCAACTGAGCAAAGCAAGGATATTTCATGTCCTTCGGGTGTCACTTGACATGTAACCTGAAGCGCATTCTAACTAATTGGAGCCTTACACACCTTAAGTGTTTGATGCTGCACAAGTGTCCGGAATGGTCCATTGAAGCTCATCCGAAGCTCGTCCAACTGAAGCCTTGCTGCACGGATATATATATATATTGAAAAAATGAGTTGCATGTATAATCTTACTTCATGAGATTGGATGCTTGATGATGCTTGCAAGCAGCATGTGAAAGCAGTTGGTAGTCACCTTGCCCACGTTGTTTACGAGGACACAGGACATCAAAGTGCCCAAACTTCCTGGTACTTCCCTCTGCACAATCCTTCTGCCACGAGAACAACACATGTGCAACGCGGTCCGCCTGCTCAGGCCCAATCATGGAATCCCTAGAAATCCATGGGTACCAAGCCTCAACATGCTGGTAGATATCTTCGGCAATGGTCAAACGAACCCGAATGCCAAGGCAGGCAACAATCCACCGCAAATCAGGAATTTCAATGGATCCGTGTTTCTCCACCGAGTCAAGGTCTTCACAGGCATCTGGACAGGTGGTCGAAGCGCACTTACCTTCAACTCACATACACACACACTTGACAAAAAGAAAAGACAATGACGCGTGTACTAACCCAAAGCATCGACCAAATTCCCAAATGACTGGTGGTGGTGGGGAACTTTCTTTGGCCTACATATATATATATATATATAGTGGTTAAAATAATTGGTGACAAGGTACATGTGCTGATGCATAGGGACGCCGCTTCCACTTCTTCATGTTTGTTTTGACGCGCGTTGGTGGGGTACGATGCATCGTTCCTTGCAACAGAGGCTGCTAGATAGAATGCGTATCCGGCGTGTGTATATAACTGTATATATACACATAATACCTCAGGTAAGTATATACATATATGTATATATAGTGACATGATCGGACATCTCTTGACTTGCAAAAGAAGCAGTCCTTGGAATGAGCTTGAAGGATTCAATATCCTGGCTGGCCAAAATGGCTCGCCAAAAGCATTTCCCATCTCCCGCAACGCGGACCACATCAAAGGAAAACAGCGAGGACGTTGCTGGAGGTTCTGTAGGATTGCACTGGCCTATCGTAGCCTTGATCTCTTGCACCACGGATTGAACCAGCTGCCCATACATGCGATCCTGGTTGGACACGAGCAAATCATGCGCCCACACAATGTTCCCCAAGCCCCTTTCCTTCGAGTGATGGAACGTGGTTGAAACAGCAGCAACGCCATCCGTCTCAGCGCATGTCTCAAGATGTGTCCATTCCCCTGGAGCGTCAGGATCCACCTAGAAATTGCAACCCTCACACAAGAAACAGGTTTGATCAGTTCTTCATTATGGAAAAGCATGCATGTAAGCATATATACATATATATATATATACATATTATATCATATATACCATGCCTATCAAAACCATCCCGCAGTAAAAATTACTTGGCCAAACTCCACGTCACCATCACGCAAGCGGCAAGCGATGAGCCTTGGGCAAGCACAGAGGAAATCCCACCCAGGGCAATCTTGCGATGGTCCTCGTTGTTGGAATGCCCTGCAATGATTACTCCACAAATGGAAATCTCCTGTTTGGTACAAATGTCCTTCACCTTCTCATCTGCAAAGAGCTCACCAAAGCCATTCTTCCCCACCACGATGTTGTAAGAAACCACACCCTTTTTGCTTTCTTTGCCCAGAAGCACTCCTCCAATTCCAGGGGCACGGGTATGCCATGTTTGGAAACCAAGAAGAGCTGCTTTGCGCATAGAGATGCGTGAGGATGGCAAAGTGGGCCCACATGTCCTCTCTGATTCCAAGACACTCTTGGTGATGTCTTCACTGCTGGCAAGTGATAGGTCTGCAGTACTCGCAAGCACTTCAGAGAGATTTTGGCTACCACAGCCAGATGCGAGTTGGTTTGCTCGAACTGTAGCCTGAGCAGGAGCTTTGTCACTTAGAATGTGTGCTACACCCTGAAATGCTGGACAGTATGTGAATATAATACACATATATATATATATAATGTGTATATACATGTCTATACAGGGTAGAAAACTGGAGGTTGCCAGAATTGTTAAGAAACAGAGGCCTTTGCTGATGCCTTGCCCGCATTGTCCAAGCTCTTGTTGAATTTGCCAGCAACTTGAGCAACCTCCATTTTGTTGATCCACTGACAACACTCTGCCACGGATGCGAACCACTTCACGACTTTCTCATTGCTGCCAGTGGTAAATGTAGCAGTATACCTGCTGTCTTCAGGTGTGATGCTGCCACGTGGAGAAGGAGATGCAACTTTCGCTATGCTTGCCTCGACAAACTTCACTCCCTCCCTGGTGCAAAGTGTCTCCAAGTGAGACCTTTGATCTGCAAGCCTTGAGCCCTTCAGCTGAATTTCTTCAGCAGCTAGCCAGGACTTGCGCTCCTGCCAAGCCGTGGTGTCAGCAGGCTTTTGAACACTTAGAATGTTGCAATTCTAAGGCGTTTTGAAGAACTTTCAAGCTTCCAGCCTGCCCACGGTGAACATCGAATTTGAGCAACATGGTTTTGGCAGCTTTCTCATAAGCGCATGCCGCTTCCCTAGCTGCAAGAATGCTTCCATAGTTTGCTGCAGTGAATTTGCGAGTGTCGCTGCCAAATTTTACCCAGAACCTGAGCCAAAGCTTTTATGCACTACATACACTACATGTATATATATATATACATATATACTTCTAAAAAACAGCAAGGGCATCCCCCAATTCAAACCCCTGTCCAAAACGCAGCTGTTTATATATATATATATAGAGAAATAGCAAAAGACGGGAAAGTCCTGGGTGTACTACAGCACAAAATCATCCAGGAACCGCAAATACAATACAAGCGGCGATGTATTGTGTTGCTTCACCCCTGCTGGCAAAGGAACATCACTGGCAGGTGCCACTTTCTTGGTTGTTTTCTCTGCTGCCGCTGCCTCTGTGTCGCTAGCATCCCCCTCGCTTGGACAAGCACTTGGCGCGGGTAGGGGAGGTTCCTCACATCCTGCATGTTTGTTTGCTTGTGCTGGAACCACATGTACAAGTTTGCTGAAACAGTCCTTTTATAGATATATATACAGATACACATCTGGTCACCATCACCTGCCAAAACCTCAGGCATTCTATGTGTACAACATGTTGAAAATACACATCCAAAACATCCCTTCCTGGTGGTCTGCAAGCCAGCAGGCTTTGTGAGAGTTCCTCCATGGCTTTGTGATCCGTGAATTCAATGGGTGATTTAAGTGAGATGTGTCACCAGCACGAGCATTTCATTATATATATATAGTTACATATATATATAGGTATGATAATATATACGCAATATTTGGAGATTACAGGAATTCAACGGAATTCATGTGGATTTATATACTCTTTCAAAGCGGGTTTTGATGGCTTCATGCAACGTGCACTTGAAAGGCAGGCGAGGACGGCAATTGAGCAAAAGTACATGTCCAACAAAAGTTCCCAAAATGAACATGTTCATCTGTATTTTTCTATGCATTCTATCTGAACCATCTATGCAGCCTTATGCAAACTATTTCCAACCCAAGCAACATGTTTTTCTATAATTTAATGCCGGCATGTCCATTTTGTGTGGCATTCTATCTGAATCAAATGTAGAAAATTAGGGCGCCCTTCCAACATTATGCCTCAATACGCGGGCATTCTAACACTATGACACTAGGAAAACTTAGAATGGGGGGTCATTTTTGGGGGTTCCTAGTGTCAAACCTTTGCCTTGTAGATTTTTAAAACGGCATTCTATCTTCCAGTCCGACACTATATATAATATTATATAATACTTATGAAGAGTGTGAACGAAATAAAACATAGAATTTGCAACGTCTAAAGAGTTTTGGTCGGTCTGCCGTCCAACGGCCAGCCCAATGGGCCAGCCCATAAGAATTTCCCACATGCAGCCAGCTCTGCAGGGCCTTTTTTGGCACCCAGCCCGAAGATGTCCTTGAGGTCCGCATCTTCATCCACTTCTTCCTGGAACACAGGCGCCTCAGCTCATATGTCGAACTCATTCAGTAGAGGTCACTTCTGCCAGAACCTCCACCGCTGGGTGACCCCGTCAATAGCGATCCCACCCCATCCATGACACCAGTATAAGAAGAGACGGACAGGGGTCCAGGTTAACCCCAGGCACCGTGACTGGCCTTCGGAACCGACGCTCTGATCCGCCCAGGAACCGACGGTTGCCTCTCCCGAAAGCGACGGTCGACGGACCGCTCGCCAGGATGACATAAAGACAAGGAGGTCGATCGACATTGAGGGACGTGGAAAAGCTTGGAAAGGGAGACAACGAAAGGTGACCGTCCTCTCATACCGATCTCTGACAGCAAGAAAGGTGACCGTCATCCAGAATCGAGACCATGACATGGGTGACATGGGTGACATGGGTGACATAACCGATCAGATTCCTCCTCACGGCCGCCGTCCAGGTCCTCACCTCACAGGTGGAGATGTGAAGACGACCTTTATAACTGATCAACAGGGGCGAGGATCCAAATCAACAGGTTCCCAGCATCCAACCTCGATTTGCATCAGCATGGTATCCGTTGAATTGGGTTGAAGTATGCACTCATCCAGGATACTTAAGGTTAGACGGTTTGACTCAGGGCGAGATTTTGTATTATTTGGATTATTAAAGGAACAGGTCAATGAACTCCTGTGTTTTACACGACCGTCCAAAGTGCTGATATCAAATCTAGTACGTTGGACGCAGCTCTTAGGTTGGAGGCCATTGCTCCGCTACATGGGGTACTACAAACCCGACCCGCAAAACCAAGCTTCCATCGCTGGCTGGTAGCCACTGAAAGCAGCTGTCTGGTTTGCCCGGCTTGACACAAAGGGTGTCACTTCCACAGGAGAACGACGCGATGGGCCAATAGGTGCAAAGTGAAAAGGTCTTTCCTTGAAGTTGTCCTTGGAAACAAATGAACTGTGAAAAAATAAAGGCCAGTGAAGAAACACACTGGCCTTGTGTTGGTTCCACTGTCGGACAGGACGAAAGCTGATTTGCCCGCTTTGCTTGTAGAATCATGATGGTTGGAGCAAGTTCAGTTCTTCGTTCGCACCAAAGTGCCATGGTACCAGGAGTCACAAAGCGGTGCAAATTGGAGGATAGGGGTCCCTATTATTCACTCACTTAGAGACTACAAAAAAAAAATGTGTGACTCCTGGTATGAGTAACTACTATATGACCCCTTTCTGACTCCCTGGTATGAGTAGCTACTCTATATCTATATATATAATACAGTCCTCATCAGGTCCAGTTCTCACAGGGCTCTGCCCCCCAAGAATTCTGCTCCATGAGTTCTAGGAACAGTGTATTCCAACCTTTTAAAGGGTTTCGGTTTGTTTTGGTTTATTGTCCTTCTCCAGGGATTGAACTAATGTCAAACTCAATTTTCTCCCCATTTTACGACCATTATTGCCCACAACAAGACTTGCATTCAATGAACCTCGGGCCCAAACATCCTGAACCTGTGTGGCCAGAAGCAAACCCACAGGGTGCAACACGAAGATTTTCCCGGGACTTTGTTTTGCCCCGAAGTAGATGGAATTGAATCACCCGATTTTTTAAAATGCGGGTGATAAAACTGGGCGAAGAATCACTCAGTCCAACCCACTGAAAGCATCGATGGTACGCTTCAAGTCACTCCAGCTGCTTCATAAACACATGACCACAACTGAAGGAATCAGCCTACCAACGAACGTAAAGCAAACAAATGTTAGGCACAAAATGCTAGCAAACCCAACTAACACAAAACCCAAGCTGCAAACCAACACACGCGCGCACACAGACACACGTTCGAACACATGGCAGTTACCGGCTCTTCCGTCCGACTTTTGGAATCTCACTGCTGAGCCGTGGATTGGGGGAACCAAGAAGATTCACCCCAAGAACAAAGCCTCAAAAGTCACCCAGGCCCAGCGCCAAAGGCCCAGCTTCATAGACCTTACTGGGATCCACGATCTTCACCTGCGGCCGCCACCATTCGCGCGGCGAGCGCCCGCCCGCCGCCACGTCCACTTCTTCCAGCGTCTCGGCGCCCTGCCGGACGGGCGCAGCAAGGAGGAACGAGAGAGATGGGATCAACCACCCGTTAGAAAAACAAGTGCATATGATAGTACAAAAGCAGCATATGTTAATAGTACATAAGCCGTGCCCCCAAAAGGGTTTTAAGGCAAACAACTGTTTTTTTCTGGTTTCAGGTGTCTTCTGCTGAAAGAGGGAGTGTTCAATGTTCACCTGCTATCCATGAAACACCTCGTTTTGGAACCGGCCCTGTTGCCGCATCTCCTGGTGTTCGCGTGTGCGGCGACCGGTGCCTGCCCCGGTGGATACTGATTCAGCTCCTTCGGCCGAACAGCATCCACATCCACATGGTGCTCGTAGCAGAGACGCTGCTCACAGGGTGACAAAGCCAATTGCAAGGCCTTCTTCATAGGTAGCACCTAGGGCAAGGTGCACCCCGGAGAGAACGAGGTCAAAACAGTTTGTGATGTAAGATATTTAACAAAAACATAACAAAACTATAGTCACTAATTATACAATACTTTAAAAAATAGAAAACACTTTTTTAATCTTTTTTATATAGTATATTGAAAAACTCTGTGTGTCCGCAACCGTTTAAAACCGCTGCGATCGATATGGCCCTGACAGTGGGGAGGTTTTTGGAGGAGGCTTTGGATGGAAGCATGAAGTGGCAGATTCATGCGAAATAGAGTAGAAGCGTAACATGTTGAAGTGAGGCGGATGATTTTGCTGCTCAGGTGCAGCGTTTTGAGATCCTCAGTTGCCTTCGCTGTGACAGGGGGGGTTGGCGTTGGCAGGGTGGTCTGTTGGAGGTGGATGCCGCGGTGGCCTCGAAGCTGTGCCAAGTCTCAGCCAAAATTGATCAAGCTGTGCCAAGTCATTCCGAACATGTGGTGTGGTGCAAAATTTGCTGAAGACATCAAGATCTGATGTCGTCACTTGTCGTGGCAGGCGCAGTACTTTGTGCGTGTTGGCAGTGAAGTTGAATCTTCGTGCCAGGCGCAGGGAATCGTGAGGTTACGACGTTTGGTGGAGGTGAATGTCGCTGTGCCATTGGGATTGATGTGTCTGCGGCTGTGGTTTTGAGGGGCTGAGATTACGAAACTGCTTGCAGGGCTACGTGGTGTGTCGCTCTGATGAGACTTGCCGCTTCACTATTGAAGGAAGTCTCGTTTTGGAGACGTCAGTCTCGAGTGTCCCGCAAGAGTGTCCCACAAGAGAGTGCCCTACAAGGGTGTCCCACAACGCATTTTTCCACAAGAGTGTCAAACAATGGTTGGCAGGTTGTTTCGACTGCGTGTGTTCGTGGGCTCCATCTTGTTTTACTCACTCATGCAATTAATTCCAAGAGGGGAACTGGACAGTACAGTATGCTTGCTTTCATTACAAACTTCTTGTGTCACGAGGGATGGCAACCCAAGGTCCTAACAACTGTGACATGATCAACTCTAAACATCAGATTTACCGGAGATGTTCTATCCTGCAAAGAACTGAGGTTGCCGAGTGGCAATCTCGCTCAGGACATATCCAATAAAGCCGTCCTCAGATTTCACCAAAAGAGATCTAGATCACCTGAAAACCCCACGGCTGGCGCTTTGTTGCGCATTGTCCTGTATCCTAAATAGATATCTAAAGATCCACCGTCCTGCTGCATTGTTATCAGAGGTCAAGAAAAGAAGCGCCAAGATCCCTCAGAAGATGGACTCTTAACGCTTCCTTAGGATCTCAAATGACGCTCGTGGCCAGAAGTCGCACGAATAAACCGGCCGCTGTAGGGGCCAGGCATCTGGCAGCAAGCTCTCTTGCCATCGTTCCTTGGAGATGCTGCCGGAAGAAAACAAGAAGAATCGATCTGTAAAAGATCCGTTCAGTGAACCAGCATCTTTTGGATCCTTAAAGTAAAGCCCAAAGAAAGCACATAAACGCACATATGTAACATTGCTCAGCGTTCTCCCAGGTGTCTGTCAGAACGCCCTCCTTGAATATACCCGAGTCTTGCGGCCTCAACAAGCCTTCTGGCTCAAAGCGCAAGCAAAGGCCATTCCTCAGGAAGAGGATGCATGAAACTTGCTTGCTTCGTCAGTTCGGCTCGCTGTTCAGTGTTTGTTGGTTGGCCACCCTGCTGCTTGGTTGCTTACAATGGCATCCTGGGTAGGGGCAATGCAACCTTGGCCAGGTGCTTTTCTCCCTGGAAAAACCGCCAAGAGCGCAGGCACCGTGCTGTTCCTGCACCGAACACACGGTGGCAGCTCTTCATCCTCCGAGGGGCAAAGCTCCCTGGCGCACATTCACGATCCACCGAAGGTCGCCTTCGAGGCCGTAGCGCACGTGAACCCCGTCCGCCACACTGAAGTTGGGGCGTTGGAAGAACTCCTCGCCCAGTTCAGGAGGCGCCTCGGTTCGAAGCGAAAACCGAGGCGGTGAGAAGGCACGGGGGAGGTAGGTGGGGAGAGGAGAACGTGAGTGAAGGGCCATCCTTTTGGGTTAGGAAGAATGGAGTGGGAAAACGACTTATTAATTTGAATGGTGTGATCCAACAATGGCGCTCATCAAGAGAGAAATCTCATTCAGCAGTGGTGCCCAGCCGTGGTACCCCTTTCATGAGGATCAAAGGCCATCCCTGTTCAACCCCTCCGCATTGTCCCCACCTGCACAGGAACAAGCTTCCCTTGGTGCTCCATCTTCGCCGGCAGCCGCTTGGGACGCCCCAGGGGCCAGAGCGCAGCTAGGGTGCCGCGGCCATGGTGGACAGCCACTGCGAAGCCACAGGGGAACTTCACCTCAGAAATCAAGCGATCGATTCTGCCGAAACTCAAGGGCTTGAGTGCTGGGTTTGTGGGAGTTGAGGTGGAGGATACTGTATCAAGTAACGGTTAGAACACGCTCGAACATAGTTGAAGTTTGTGAGAAAATATGTAATTCCTTTTTGCTACTGTTCAGATTGTTTCATTTTGGTTCGCCTAAATGGGATTGGGTATTCTACAAGGATTCCATGCTTCACTTCATTCTGTTTTCAAACAACAAAAATCAACAAAACGGGTTTGGTGTACCTGCTTCGTCGGTTCTTCCTTTCGTCTAACAGAGAATGCTAGAAAGAAAACCAAATGGCATGACCCCAGCCTTCCAAGACATAAGGTGGCAATTCCTTAGTAAAACAAGGTTCACGGCTCTGTCGCCGCCTTAGTAAAACTCGGTTACTCATGTTGTTTGACCCTTTGCATGAGAGTTTGATCGAGTTTATAGCCCTCGCAGTGTTTTGCACCTAAAACAACCTTCGGTGTTTCACCATGCTTCAACTGATGGGTGCTTTGGCTCGTCCGATGGGATGGGCCCTCCGAGCTCTGTGGCATGGTTTTGGCACCCCGAGCTCAGTTGACCTTTGGAGATCGATCTTTCGATAAGAAGGTGCAATGAAGCAGGTGACAATGATCTGGCAGTTGACCATGGAAAAACCATGAAAAAGGGAGAAACAAAAGAAGAACAAGTATAGCGGACAAGGTCCATGTACCGCTGTGGGGCATCGGCTGCGGGATGTTTGACAAAGAAAACAGCTTTTGAAAAGGAGGAGTCGACCGGAAACGCACCAGCCTCTGGGGTCCTGGTCCAGCTACAAAGCGGTGCAGTGACCGAATCCATAGTTCTATCCCTCCTGGCTTTGACCAAGTACGACTCTTGCATCCAAAAAGAACCCAAGAACCCCCTGTGCTCGGATGAAACAAGATGAAACAAACTCACGTCGTGTGTCCTTTTGGTCAACTCGGAACAATCTCCATCTGGACAAATGCCCATTTGCCAAAGTTCTTGCCTCAAGGAGACCCTTTTCCAATCCCACGGAGTCGTCCAGGTGTTCGCTCCGATCTTGTAAAGAACTGAATGGTCCTTTCACTGATGCGAAAACACCGAACTCTCACCTCTTCGAACACCAAAAAGTATCCACAGCTTCACTCAGGACTCAGACTGGACAGGACCCTCGGCAGAAGTCGGCCGTTGGACTGCCACCATGGCTGGTGCCAAGGGCTTTTCGCCCCCCCAATACCATCGCTGGAAAATAAAGGTGTTCAGCTTTCTACACCTGTCCATGTTCAGTGGGGTGTCCCTAATTTCCAAAAAGGTGATCCGCTTTTCCTGGGTAGGGTTCCAAAACAAGCCAATGGTGGAGCCTATTCTGCACATTTGTGGACCCCCAAGCCCTGGAAATGTCAGGTTCTGCAAGATGGACCATGCATCAGTATAACAGAAATGGTGGTCCACAACACGATGAAATAGGTGCATTTGGTAATTAGTTTGGTTGATCTATTTCATTGCCTTTGGAATTCCTCATAAGGCGCTTGCATGATATCTCATCAATTCTGACTCCTTCAGTGTCCCAGGAAAGAAACTGTTAACCTTATACCGAACTTTACACCTTTTTGTTGTTCTTTGCGTGTTTAGTAGGGTGTCCCCCTCCAAAAAGGGCTTTTGCATACTTTTTGATCCATTCTTCCCACCCAAAAGCCCCTCCGTTGGATCCTTCATCCGCGACCCCGAATTCCTTCGACCGAGCTGCCACTGCATTGGAGTCCAACCTCGTAAAGCCCCGCACGCGCTGCGGAAACCGCTCCTCGTCCGCGGAAACCGCGCGGCGCGGTGGTGGGGCCACCGCGCCGCTCAGAAGAAAGTTGGGGCATTTGGGCTCCGAATCGAGGAAACGATTTGGCCCCAATGGCCAATGTGTCAAAAAATCAATTCAAAAATCGATCAAAATCGTAGATTTGAGGCATTCCGCCCACGTTACGTCGACGTCGGCCCCGTTGAAGCGCTGGTACATGTTCTGTCTATTCACGTCCGATGTTGGGGTCTAGTTCCGGTTCTCCGAGTGCCAACATGGAGTCAATGAGTCAACTTGGCGGTTTTCTTTTGGCGGTTTTGCCACTGCAAACGGAATTTGGAGGATGTTTCGTTGCACTGACCCCTAAGAGTTACTCGACCGCGGCGGGTCGGCCGAGAAAGACATCGGTGCGACTCGGCCCGGCGAAGTGAGGTACAACGACTCTGCGGACCAAGGATGAGGGAGATGAATCGCTTTCGTCCACGTTGTGGACTTGCGTTCCTGGAATGCCAAAAAAACCTTCAGTAGCAATCCATAACGTTGCGAAATAAGGCAAGGAATGGAAAACGCACACAACAAACCACAGCAAAGAATGTGGTCTTGTTGTTGCTGATTGTTTCGTGTGGACGCTCATAGGCTGTCGAAGCTGCGAGAATGCTCCCGAACGATTTTCAGCCGTCTCAACTGTCAAATCTCCAAACACTTATGTCCCGTCCTGCATTCTTTCCGGGCTAACTCTCGAAATGAGATAAACTCCAAGCACCGTCAAGGAAGAAGGACATCCCACATTCTATCCAAATAGAACTTTAGAAATCAGAGTCATTAAACTAAGACCTTCCAACATCTTTCAGTGGCCATCGGATGCACAAACGCGACGGATCGATCCCAAGATCGGCTCTGCCCAAGGCTCTGAGTCGGCCAGGCGCAAGATGTCTCTGCTTCGGTAAGAATGCTCCATGGCCGGAGTGGCGCAACGTGGCGGTGGAATGAATTGCCCAGAGTTGAAGACAAAGAACCAGAGCCATGGGCTTGGCATCCACATGCAACAATAATGTACATCTAGGTTTAAAAAAAAAAGAACATGAGAAGCCAGCTTCTTCCGTTCGTGACCTCAAACTGGAGTGCCGCTACGGTTAAGAAGAAACCGGTGCTACTTCACTATGTGCGTACAACAGGCCCTTTCACTCGGTGAACGGTTCAACCGGTCCACACGTTTCACCACACGTGACAACCACATCAGCTTGACCAAGCTGACCAAGTGAGCCCGGGTGCTACCCTCCTGGATCCTATTGGATACCTATTATTGGGTAAGCCAGTTCCAAGAAAGAGAAGGACACCTGGGACCCGCTTGGGGCTGTTCACAAACAGTCCTATCACTGCGAACATTTCAGGACAACTAAGCAGTTCGGAGTGCAGATCTAAACCCGAAATGTCCAAAAAGTACATGATCCGCTGGATGAACTCTGGCGATGGCTGGGTGACCAGTGGCTTTCAAGTTCGAGAAGAGGAACGCTGCACCGGCGTATTTTGTTGCGCTTTTTTTTTCTGTTGCTGTGTGTGTGCTTCACAAGAAGGAGCTGATTGTGCTGTGCAAACTGGATTCAACCATGGGCCCTGTACAGGCCAAGTGTCTCGATCTTTCACTTCAAGGATTCTGATGGCACATGGACTGCAATACTTGGTTTGGCACATGGACGGTAGCATGTCAGCCTTGCACACCCTCCCTTTAAATCCCTTTAGAGAAGTCTTCGAGCAAAAAGCGACAGCAAACGATGTTATAGTCAGGAACTAGTAAAGAATGGGGTGAAGGAAAGACTGTCGCTTAAAGAGAATAACAGGATCATGTGCATGGAAGCATTATGATTCTTGCACTCATGATGCAACCCAATATGTATTGTATTGTAGGTACCTGTGAGTCTCACCTAAACAATACCTATATACAGTACACACAATTACACATATACCTACAGTATATGTACATATACAAATCAACCCAAACATGGACATCTGTCAAAATCTAGCTTGCCAGGCTTCTCCCTTCCACATCTCTGCACTTTCCCCCTTTCCACGCACGAAACCGGAGCCGCCGACGTCACGCCCAGCTCGCGGCGAGCACGCACGCTTCGTCGATGCCGCGTGGGTCGAGGCATCATCTGGAGGGACCAAGTGGCTGGAAACGAGCCACCGCGAAGTCGGTCGTCAGCAGCAGGGAGTCCTTGTAGGTCGTCAGCGAATGCGATGGAGAGTTGCGATGCTGAGGTGATGCTGCGATGTGGAATCTGACAAGCCTGAGCTGACACCAACATACCTGGTCAAATCAGCCAAATCTGAGGCTCCACAATTTGCACATACTGGAGCTGGAGAATCTGGGCCTTTAGGAGTCTTGGAGGCTTTACTGAGAGAATTTGCCAGCGATCAGTCACAATATGAACATGCCAAAACCGTTCGCAGCGAAACTCTTGGAACCCAGCCATCCTCTCTTGTTGAGTGAACCCATGTGTCAAGAACACCATCAACCATTTGCGAAAGTACATTGATTAATCCCAATGCGTCAATATTGCTGGCAAACCGCCACTAGGATTCTCCATGCATTATTTGCACTGCTGCACGCGATGTGACAGGCAGGGTTGTGCTGTACCATACGCATTGGTTAAAGTGCATCAAATGGAAACTGACATCATTCCAATCGAAAAAGAGACACCCCAGAGTCCCGAAAGTCCCGAAACGGGGATGATATGATTGTTGATTAGTAAAACGCCTACTGATGTGTTCTGCATTACTTTACTGTTGGTCATGTTCCCTAATGTGGGCATCCCAATCAGCTCAAGGCAACGGGGCAATGGAATGGCTGGAAAGGGCGGCAGCACCACAAGCGCCCTCCGCAAAGCTAGTAACTAGACTTATGGTTCCTTTATGACTCCTTTGGTCCTTGGAAGAACATTATCCGAATACCAAACCGGCGGCAAACTCCACGTCGACGATTTCAAAACAGTGCATGGTGGATTGAGACTATAGATTATTGTTTAATATGGATTCCCCATCTCAAAAACCCCAGTGCACCAGTGCTATCGACCCCAGTGGCCCCAGTGCAGGACCTCGCCTCCTGAACTCCCGTGACGCCCGTCGGGTAGAAGAACCTCGGTCGGACCGACCGCTGCTTCGACCTCCGACGTCGATAGCGTGCTTCGAGCGAGCTCCCGGAATGCTTCGACGGAGTTGGCGTACTCGTGGATCGATCCTTCCAGACCTGCGGAACAGGTGCGCGTCGCAGTGCTGGAATCCGGCTTTTGGATGCTTTTGGTGCATCCGGCCTTGAGAGCTATCCTAGCCCAGCTTGACAACGCGAGTTGTCTCACAAGCAATTCAACATCTCACAGAACGGCCCGCAGCATGTCAACTCTGGCTGTTTTCATCGAAGTTTCTACTCCACCTTCCGTCCCTTCTTTGAGTGGAAGATGGTGGAAGCACATTTTCAAGCTCAGCTTCTCGCTTGGCGCATGGCATCGCGTGGCCGAGGCCAGACGCGTTGCACCCGCGCGTGGCCAGCTCTGAATCACGGAAGTGGGAGTTCACCAGCTGCTTGTTCGTCGGATGTTCGTCCTCCAAACACTTGAACTCGGGGGCCAGGCCAGGCCATCCTTCAGTATGATGATTGAAGGGAGTACGCGCAAATGGGAACAGGGGCGCTAAGCCGTCCAATCCGTGTGTTTGAACAAAGCACACGCTTTGGATGGCTTAGCATCCTGGAACAGCCCATCTCAAGCGATCCTTTTCCTGGCTGGCTGAGATGGGGAATTGACGAAGGAAGGCTTCGTCAATTCTCCATCTCAGCCTGTTTCCAGCTGCTTTTGGATCAACAAGTGGCAATTGGCTTGTTGTTGTCCTTGCTGCGGACTGGAGCCCCTAAGCCTATGTTCATCAACTTTAAAAAGCTTCCACTTCGGGCACATGGGCGCCCAATGCTCCCAGGTGAAGGCCAAACACTGCTCCCCGTGCTCCTCGCCGGATTCCCACGTGCCGGAGCCTATCGGTCGGGGTTGCAGCTCAGCTGCTCCCTAGCTGCTCCCTGAACGCCGTGAACATCCACAGGGGGTTCGGAAACTGACACTGAACACAAAAGTTCTCAAACCAAGTGCCAAATAACAAGTATCCACTGATATCCACTTATCTCATGCGCTTCTTCCAGTCAATGACCCCTGTTGGTGCTGTTGGTGACCTCTGGAATACACAGACCCTCTCGTCTTGACCTCGTCTTGATCCACTTCAGTTCATCCACGATTCGAACCGGACAGTTCATCCACCCGTCCATGTTCCTCCGAGCGACAGTGGCCAATGATCGATCTTCCTAAGAATCGGATCGACCGATCGACCGAGCGGTGCTCGTTCATCGGTTCGAGGTTCGAGGCCTTCGGTCGGTCGAAGACCGTGAAGCTCGCGGCAGCTAAGGCGGAAGTGGGTATAACAGTTATAACATGGTATAAGCAGTATATCATATCCCAGTACCAGCAATAGTGGACGATAGTGGCCAGGTGCCAGGCCTTAGTCTACTAATTAATAACTATATAATAGTGATAATATAGTGATACTGACTGTTATACAGGTACTGGGACAAACCCTAGAGATATACCTGGAGCTTCTAATGCCTTTGGGCCCGTTCATCAACGAAAAGGCTGAATGTTTTGCGCAGTTGGATGTTCTGCAGGTATTCGGTGGAAAAGGGTGCTTGAGATGTCATGAGTCCTGCTACCATGCTACATGGACCTGCAGACCAGACAAACCAGGATCAACATTTCCGTCACGAGCTATATTGCATTCACTTCCATTCCTATAGACACTTCAAGTGTTAAAGGTGTTAGCCTCAGAAACGGGCGTTCAAGACGTCGGGGGGGATGACTCACATTGGAAAAACACCCAGCAGGGCGGCAGGGCGGTGTGGATTTCTTGGCCCGATGGCCAGTGCTGAGCCCGGCGATCTGATCGTCTTTTGGAGAAAGTGAGCAACTCCCAAGATGCTAGATTGTTTGCACCCCCAGACACCTATACATGCCTATGGCTTGGGTCTATCTGACTTTTACCTGGGCCCTGGGTCTATGAGGTTGGTGGGAGGCCTTGTCCAAAGAAAGAGTGCTTTGCTAAACCTGACTGCTTACAGGATCGACCCAACGGGTTGGATCGACCCAACAACCATGGGTCATAGCACCGGGGACGGTAGGATCGAGTGAGGGACGTCACATGTAAAGAACCAAACGCAAATGACTGCCAAGAGAGGTTGAACAGCCTGAAAAAGCCCATCCCATATGTACCACAGAACAGGGTCCTAGTTCTGATCTCTCAACCTCTCTTGGTATGAATGAACCACATGGTATTTCTTGCAAAGTAACTGCAACATGTAACAGCTAATTTACACAGACGGCGCGGATACAAAGGTTTGGAGATTGGCACCCCGGAGAGATCGGCACTCCAAAAGTGACGAATTACAGGTTTTGACTCTTGACCCACAGCCACATTGGAGTGGTTTGGGTGTCAACGAATATTGCAGTTCCAGTTGTCACGCTTTGTGCTCGCAAAACCGCCACACTGAACCAGACTGCTGGGAGAGAAAAAGAAGTCTCCATCTTCGGTGATACATCTCTTCCAAAAACTGAGAACGACCAGTCCAAAAAGACCCGCCTTTTGAGGATTACCATTTCTATGTGTCTTCCCACGGACAGAGTCTCATTTGTCCCGTTCCCACGGACACCGGACACCCCCGTGGCCGACCCGAGCGTCAGCTCGGACACCGACACCGAGGGTGTCAGGGGCTTCGGCACCGGCGCATGGATTTGCCTTGGGGACGCCGGACCGCGGGGCACAGCTGGGCACAGCTGGGCACACTTGATAGCCAGGTGGGTGCTCCGGACAGAACATATAGAACGAAACGAAAGGTCGTGGCCATGGCGACTGCCATGGCGGCTTCGGGCATGACATGGTTTTAGGATGCCCCTGCTTTTGGTAGATCAATAGTTTTATAAAGGGC